AATGAGAACTTCAGTTATCTTGTTCAGCAGGCCAATTATTACTTTTGCTTCAGTGCGTAGCTGTGAGTTGTGTTATACATTCTGCACTATGCTTCTGCTACACTGACTGACATGCCCACTTTTCCTTGCAAAATCATGCTATTTACATTTGGCATCTTGTGCATCTCTGAAATATTTCTTGTTTGCAGCCGAAGGCGCTTTGGGGAGCATCAGGCTGAAAATTGGTGGAACGAGAACCGCGAGAAAGTGTACGAGAAATACAACGTGAGGAGCTCCGAACGGGTATCGTCAGCAGCCTCAACCCGGTCGGCCTATTAGCTTACCTGTGGATGACCTGTTGCATGCCGGCACCTGTTTCTTCACACAGAAACTGCAAGATAGACCAACAACAGCAAATTATCAACAAAACTGTGGCCATACATACCGGGCTTGAGAGCGCCATATGCGATCGCCACTGCAATTTTTATCGTCTTTTCATACTGTAATATGGATAGGAAGATAAGTCAAGTTTTTGGTTGGTGTTGAATCGCCTGAGGCTGTAGCATGGGCCCTGTCCCAGTGTAATGTACATACATGGACCTGATCAAACAGGGCATGGTGCCTTTACCATGTTATAGATCACACTAGCCATTGTAGCTAGGTGAAGTTTTCATTTTTCCTTCCAGTTTTTTTATCCTTTTCCTCAGTATGATTAATTTTTACAAAAGAACTTGTGTCCTGCAATTGTACTTGGATATATATCTTCCACAAATTAGGCCTCATTTGAATGGTTGCAAGTGGCCACACTAATTATAAAGTCATTCTAGACAGCCTCTTAAGGTGCTACACACAATCAGTTGCCAAGATAGTCTCTCAATGTTACCTTTAGCCTTCCATATGATTAGAGGTGGTAATAGAAATGAGAACATACATTCTGCCCTTAGGCTATAGCAAGTCCGGTATTTGTAAATAAATAAGACGTCTTATTTATATTTCAAACATTATAAAAATTGAGGTTAAATATAGTATATTTTTTTGAGTTGGTTAAATATAGTATCTATGTGCTCTACATGCCATGGATAAATAGTTTGACTCGCAAGCTTAAAAAACGAGAACTTTATAGATCTATAGCAGAAACTAGTAGACTATTTTTCTTGCAAAATAAAATAAAATACTAGACTATTTTAGATCCACATATCTCTATCTTTTTAGCACACAAATGATGAAATGAATAGATTCTTTTATTGAAGTTTACAAACAGACGGTTCACAACTATGTGTACATGAAGAATATCTTTTAGGAACTTTTAAAGCTTAGAGATGTTGTTTTCAAAAACCTATGGAGCCTGGGATCTATTAGCTTTTTCACAGTAAGATGCTTGGTATACAATGAATTATCTAGAGATATTTTGTGCCTATGGGATCTATTAAACTATGGGCATTATCTCTAGCCAAGATATTTTGTTGTGACATCTATTGTAATGGAGGGAAAATTCTTCTCCGACATGCTAAGAGATTATCTTTTCACTAAGACAATTCACCTTTTTTCCATTCTCTCTTCTAAAAAAATACATGGATGTGTCCATCTCACGATGCAGAGGCCAGGTTCATCTTATAAAAATGCAGAGGCCAGCTTAACCTTCCTTTCTTTCTTAGGAAAAAAGGAGGGAGGGGGGAATCCAATAATTCGTTTTGGAGCTCGAGCTACACGGGCTCCTTTTTTTAAAAAAATTCGAAATTAATGTTTCAATGCTTAAACTTTTAGGAAAAAGATCCACAGTATAATATGGATGTATACTGCATGCTTACAATTTTTCAGGACCAAGTACATAGATTAGTGAGCTACACAAAAGACAAATCTCTGACATTGAAAATAGTGAACAGTGCATGTACTATTCACTATATAAAAACCAATGATTTTCACTTTTTAGTGTAGCTCATGAATCAATGTATTTTCTCATGAAACCTTACACAGGTGTAGTACACATCCATATGCCCATACACATTCTTCTTAGATTTTTTTGAAACTTTGAAACATGTATTTTGAATGTTTCAAATAAAGGTCTCCATGAAGCCTGAGCATCAAAAGGTTGCATTCGGAAAAAAAAAATCATATAGTACAATTCTAAGAAGGCTCACAATGAAAGTTGATAATTAATTACCAACCGTAGAAACTGAAGAAAAGGGCTTAAAAGCGGCATCTGAAACTCCAAATGTCCAACTAATAAAAAAAAGGAAGTTCTGGTTAAACGGGTCAAAAGCTGTGAAAACATGCTAACTCGTAAACCGGTGTTATGCATAGTTAAAAAGGTGAGCCTAAGCGAGCGCTTAAGTGCGTCTAAGCTCTAGGTGATAGCAAAACGCCTAACGCATAACTGCGCTTAATCTGTGAATAAGCATGCACTTTGATCACAAAAGAGCAAGGTGGTGGCAAAACAAATATTAATCATGTAGTTAAAAAATGTTAAACGTGTATAAGAAAAATGTTTCTTACGTATACGAAAAATGTACAATCCGTATGCAAAAAGTAGGCATGAAAACATATATCTGAAAAATATTAATCATATATTTAAAATGTATAACGAGTAAGAACAATATTATATATGAAAATATACAAGGAAAAAATTGACCATATACAACATACATTAAATGAAAGTAGACATCCAAAACTTATATTAAAAAAATGTTAATTCTGTATCTATGAAATGTTAGATGTGTATATAAAAATGTTCCTAATGTATACAAAAAATGTACACTATGTGTATAAAATTTTTATTGCCATAAATAAAATATTCACCGTGTATATGAAAAAAATGTTGACCATGTACAAAAATGTGTTAAAAACATGTATTTAATAAATATACATCGTGTATTTTAAAATGTTCAACTTGTATTAATAAAATGTTTCCCGGGTACACAAAAATGTACATTGTGTAATGAAAAAAGTAGTCATGTGTTAAAAAAAAGTAACGATGAAAACCGATGAAGAAACAAAGAAAACCAATGAAAACCGAGAAAAAAATAAAAACGGTGAAAACTTACAAACACACAATCAGTTGCCAAGATAGTCTCTCAATGTTATCTTTAGCCTTCCATATGATTAGAGGTGGTAATAGAAATGAGAACATACATTCTGCCCTTAGGCTATAGCGAGTCCGGTATTTGTAAATAAATAAGACGTCTTGTTTATATTTCAAACTTTATAGCTCGTTAAAATAACGAGTTAGCTCGACTCGACTCGTTAACATGACGAGCTTAGATTTAAACTCAACTCGACTCGTGTAACTTGCGACCTAGCTCCTTTAACTCATTAAGCTCATTATAGAGATGAATAACAAAATATACATATTATGTATGCAATTAATCTACAAGAATATATTACAGACATAGAACTTTCTTCACAATTCACAACAATCAACAATTTAGGGCTCCTTTGATTTAAAGGAATTTGATAGGATTTCTAGAGGACTGAAATCCTTAGGATGTTTTCCTATGTTGGTTATTTGATTCATAGGATTGAATCTCATAGGAATTTCTTATGGAATCTTTTGTACTACATCTCATAGAAAATGTAACATCCACTCCAACCTATTTTTATAATTTCTTTATTTTTCATGTGCCATCAAACACTCATCGCTAATCCTATAGGATTCAAGTAGGCATGCCACTCTAACCCTATACTTTTCGTATTCCTGCGTTTTTAAAATCCTACGAATCAAAGAGGCCCTACACTAGAGGAACACTTTGTACACTCCATAAATGATAGTAATCTTCAGTAATATTGATACTTATCTCACGTCCCTTTTGATTAACGAGCTTAATGAGCTAAACGATTAACTTGTTAGCTCGGCTTGTTAAAGTTGTTTTGTTAACGAGCTCAGATTAAAATTTGACTCGACTCGTTAGTCACCGAGTTCGAGTCGAGTCGAGCTGAGTCACGAGCTACTCGTTTAGCTCATGAGTTTCGAGTTAAAATTCCAACCCTAGTGCCGTCTAAAACTCTAAATGTCCAACAACAACAACAACAACAACAACAACAACAACAACAACAACAACAAAGCCTTTAGTCCTAAACAAGTTTGGGGCAGGCTGTCTGAAACTCTAAATGTCCAACTAAAATAATAATAACGAAAATTCGTGTTGCACGGGTCGAAATCGTTGCGAAAACACGCTAACTCGCAAGTCAGTGTTATGTATTACTCCCTTTAGTGATCTATAAGATCTTACATTGAGAGTACAATACTATCCCGAAGTGATGGGTTTGGTAAAAATTGTTAAAAATGCCTCTCAAAATTGTTTTTGATAAAAAACGGTGGTTTATGTGACAACCTAGTTGAATCATTATCTATACGTATACATAATTGAAATGCATTTTTAATCAAAATATATTGCAGGTGAAGTGGATTTCAATTGCTTTTCAATGGTTGCGGGCTATGTTTTCCTATACATGCACAAAATTACATGCATTATATTTATATATGTAAGTAGGAAAATTTGAAAGGCCCGTGGCAACGCACGGGCGTTCTACTAGTTTACACTAAAGAAACACTTTGTACACTCCATAAATGGCAGTAATCGACAACAATATTGATACTTATCTCACGTCCCTTATGATTAACGAGCTTAATGAGCTAAACGATTACCTCGTTAGCTGGGCTTGTTAAACTTATTTTGTTAACGAGCTCAGATTAAAATTCGGCTCGACTCATTAGTCATCGAGTTCGAGTCGAGTCGAGCCGAGTCACGAGCTACTTGTTTAGCTCACGAGTTTCGAGTTAATATTCCACCCCTGGCGTTGTTTGAAATTCTAAATGTCCAACAACAACAACAACAACAACAACAACAACAACAACAACTGCAACAACAACAGCAACAAACAACAAAGCCTTTAGTCCTAAACAAGTTTGGGGTAGGCTGTCTGAAACTCTAAATGTCCAGCTAAAATAATAATAATGAAAATTTGTGTTGCATGGGCAGGGCCGGCCCACAGATTTGCGGGGCCCTGGGGCAAGACATCAACAAGGGGCCCTTGTTGATTCGAAATCTAAAAATATTTTTTTATTAAAAAAAGTAAATATCCAGTGCATAGCCTAGACGATGATCTTTGGTCTTTAGAATTGACAGTACAATTTATTTATTGATAAGGAGAACTACACCATGATAGTAATGAAATAATGTAATTCCACATAATCTCGTTTTACTAAATTTGAACAACGGAGAATTCATTTTGTCTAGAATTATGTCTAGAATTACTATCTCAACTAAAATATCCCTATCCATATCAATCATATTGTCATAGTTTGGAGGATCCAAAATATCAACAGTGCATGATTGTTGTTCATCGACTCCCAGTGTTTCTGAATTTGGTTAGTGACTTAGGTTTTCAACTTTTCATGTTGGCTGGAATTATTATCACCATCGTTCATATCATCATTAGTAGCATCTGTATTCTCAGTCAGTTGCTCTTCAACACTTACTATGGCCAGTTCCAGGGGATCTCTAGAAGAATTACTAGTTCTGAAAAATTTGTCAATTGGTCCTTTTTGGGTTTCTACCAATTCATCTTTGAGCTGCCTTTTACTGTTCTTTTTTTACCAGATAAACACTTTCTAGACGACATGACACTAACAGGAACAGTTAGCATAAATGATTAATATAGGGAACAAACACACCTGAATATGGATTGATGTGGATCTAGATTGCCAGATCCGCAGGTTGCAGTATTCAGCACGAACAAGAAGACGACAGCAAGAACTAAATAATTTCCCCCATGCTGCAGTTCTCCTAATCTCCTGACTCCCGAGGACTCTCACACTTAGATCCAGTGAATATCAGAAGAACACTTGTGCAGGTAGATGTCGACTCCTCAGAGCAGGAGGACATAGCTATTTAATTAAGGAGGGACGGGATTATGGGAAGGAAGAAAAGAAGAACACCTACCGTCTCCATGTTTCCAACATCTAGTTGATGGGGAACGAAGAACATTGAGAAGGGAGGAGAGCTGATATGGGAACGGATTTTCGCCTTTAATCTCCATTAATAGCCAGCGGTGACCTTGGAATCAGAAACGCATGGGAGTGACGGCGCTGTTATGGGAGTCGGGAGATTTGGAGGAATCGAGGAGAAAGATTGACGATGGGTTTTACCCCAGCGCCACGACCGAATGGGCCCTCTGCTTTCTCGATAAATTTCTTGGGCTTCCTACGAGCTATGAAGGAACTACCTCGGTTGGGGCCCCTGCCTTCCGGGGGCCCAGGGCGGGCGCCCCGTTTGCCCGGCCTATGGGCCAGGCCTGTGCATGGGTCGAAATCGTTGCGAAAACACGCTAACTCGTATATCAGTGTTATGTATTACTCCCTTTAGTGATCTATAAGATCTTACATTGAGAGTACAATACTATCCTGAAGTGATGGGTTTGGTAAAAATTGTTAAAAATGCCTCTCAAAATTGTTTTTGGTGAAAACGGTGGTTTATGTGACAACCTAGCAAATGTGGTGGCTTTTCTGTAAATTTCCTGCCTCTCCAATCAAAACCATCCATTCCAAACCCCCACTCGCTCCACCCGTCGGCGGCGCTACCGCCAGAGCCACCGGCTCCCCACACCTCCGATCCGGCGCCGCCACCCCATCTTCTGTCAGATCCGGCGCCGCCGCACCCTCTCGTCTCCCCCTTCTCCCAGATCGGGAGCAGCCGAGCTCGGCGGAGGAGCAGCAGCAGCGACATCTCAAGGTATACCATTTCTGTCTGTTTCGCGTCGGTGATTCTTGCTCGTGGGTGATGGACCGCGCAATCTTTCTGAGTTGAATGTTTGAACTCGGTCGGGCCAATGGGTTACACAAAATTGGACATTCACATGTTCAGATCGGGCCAAGATAATGTTGTAGAGATGGTACAAATCACATTCTGATGTCTTTTTCATCTCTTGCGTGCCTTGTGATGTGATGCCGGGCAGGAGAAATTAGCTGTAGCAGTATAGTGCGCTGTGATGTGATGCTCTGTTTAATTTCAGAGTTTTTTTTTCCATGTCCAGCAAATTAACTTTCCTACCGTAGCATGATGAGTCATTGTGTCATGTTTCACCCAGTTCCATTATCAGTTAGCAGCACAGGCAGTATGGATGGGACAATGCATGCTCCAAGCGGTGCCGAGGCACGTGTTGCTGCCCACCCTAGCGTGAACGCCAATGGCGCTGCCAGGCACTTGCATGATGAATGGCTGGAAGAGTATGAAGCGGGTGTTTTCATGAAGCTGAAGGACCTCGGTGATGGCACCCGAGAGCTGAAGAGGGTTCGGTTCAGGTGATTAAGCTATTTCCTGTCATGCTTTCCACTCCCAAATTAGCTTTGTAATTTGCGCATGCAAACAGCTCACTGAATATTCATGATTGCAAATAGGCTAGTTGCTTGATTAGTCGTTGAACAATATTTTACCGTTCCGCGAGTTCATATGCAACAAGAGGTCTGACAGTTCATTTAGTTTATAATCATATTTAGAGCACTTTTTTTTTCCACATTAAACACTATCAGAAAAGGAGAACTCCAGGTTATCTTGTTCACATTAAACACACTTCTGTTTCAGTCTGTAGCTGAGCTTCTGCTCTACTGACAAGTGACAAGCCTATATTTCTTTGCAAAATATTAATAGCGTTGGCATCTTCCCTCTGAGATATTTTTAATTTGCAGCAAAAGGCGCTTTGGGGAGCATCAGGCTGAGAATTGGTGGAAAGAGAACCGGGAGAAAGTTTACGAGCGATACAATATAAGGACCTCCCAACAAGCGTCGTCAGCAGCCCCAACCCACTCGGCCTAATAACGTACCTTCCTGTTTCTTCACGCACAAACTGCAAGGCCAACCATCAACGAGTAGCAGCAAATCGTGAACGAAATTAAGGGTTATGTCATATGTGTACTGGGGTGTAGACCGCCATATGTGACCTTTATCGTCTCTTGGTACTGTGATATTGAGACTGGTAAGTAAGGTTCGGTTGGTGCTTAATCACCATAGGCCATAGCATGGGCCCTGTCCTAGTGTAATGTACATAATGTAGTAGAACTTATAACCTGTTAGTTGTGAGGTTAATGTAGTCTATTTAACTGGTTAATTGGCCCTGTTGAAACCCAGCCCATTAATAATCTTGTTATGTGAAACAAAAAGTACATCTATTGTCTTAAGCAGAGCTTAGTTGACTTAGTACCTTGTGGTGAACCTGTACACCCGGCAGAGCTTGACATGGGTAGGCTATTTGTCCAGCTGTAGATGACGTACCTGTTGACTGAGGTGCATGTGTGCATGTGGTGACTTTGTCAATCTCATGATCATGTATGAATGTGGTGATTTTCCGAATCTTAAGATTTGTCGATTCAATTGATAAGATCCTGAAAACTCACTTCGTAGCTGGTATAGAAATGCAGCCTAACATTTTGGGCTATGAGTTTCGACAGGGATACATTTGGGGTTAAACTAACAACCTGACTTGATTCGTAGCCTAACTAGCATGGTATGAAAATAACTTTCTTTCAAATTTTTTATGGAGGTGTACTTAAGCAAATCTCGCAAGGATTTGATCAGACAGAGAGGTGTGCCGCTGTCCATGCTACCTTTAGTCCTTTACCATGCTATGTATCACACTAGCAATTGCTGTTGGGTGAAGTTTTTCTGTTTATACTATTTTTATCCTTCTTTTAAGCGTGTTTCAGTGACCTCAGTCCTGCAGTGGTACCTGGATATATATGCTCAACTTTTGATCAAACATGAAGAATTTTGACTTAAGATTTCAAGCAAATTGGTACCCTCTGCCCTGTTTATGTATGGATCACAGTAGCTAGTGTAGGTCTTGTTTTCCATACAGGTCAGACCCTCATTGTTTTTAGCTTTTGTCGCCGATTTCTACACATACTGATGTTGAAGAAACAACATTCTTCTGTCACAATACAAGTCGTTTTGGACATTGACATGGCTTTCAAGGTTACACATTGATCATTTACTTCTCTAAAGATACACTAAAGGTTTATCAAGTGATAGACAGAGTATTGTCAGTTTGATGTGTAAATGATGATGATTTTTCTCTATAAATGGTCAAATCTTACAAAGATATCTATGGTGGGTCATTAGCTAATTTCTAAGGAGCCTCCTGCTCCACTGCTCATGTTATCTGTAGATTGAGATGTAATAATTGGAAGATATTGCTACAATCTGATTTTCGTTGCTCAGTTGGCATGGCAAATAAATCATGGAGTAGATGAAAGTCAAAGTTATGCAGCAGTAACAATGAAAGAAAGAAAACTATCAGCTACACAATAATTCTTAGAAGTTCAACACAGCTTCTTTAGTGGTAAAAACATTGGATCAGTAATCTGCTACAAAAATAACCATGGTTTATTCAAGGAATACACTTGACTGAACTCAGCAGTACACTTAACATTGCAATTTCAGGACAAAGCACAATCAATTAAACTGTACAGGTGTGCCATCCAATACAACACTGAACAAGGATGTAAATTAACAACCAGGCCTTAACCCGTCATTATTTAAACAGAAGAATAGCAAGAAGAAATTATGCAAGAATTATTCTCCAGTATCATGATCATCATGGTCATCCCTCGGGCAACAAGAGAAGAAACCTATAAGATACAAAATATGTTTCTATGAGTTCATTCCATCTTCAGAAAGAAGATCATCAGGTCATAGTTCATTCCATCTTCAGAAAGAAGATCATCATGTCATACTTTCTTCCATCTTCAGAAAGAAACCTATCAGCTAGAACAATATTTTTCCTTGATCATCAGGTCAAAAGTTCATTGCATATTCAGAAAGAAGCACAACCAATTACATTTTACACATGTTCCATCCAACGGAACACATCACAAGGTTGTAGATTAACATCCAGGCCTTAACCCATTATTACTTTACAGCAACAAACTGCAAGATGAAAAGAAGAAGTATTGTCCAGTGGCATCATAACTCGGGCATGGTTGAATGCGGACTTCATAGCTCATTGCATCTTCATGGGTTTCTTCAGGCTCCTAGCTACATGAATAATTAAACACATGTAAATTAATATCCATGTCTTAAGCCATCCTTATTTTTTACAGGAAAAATTGGAAGAGTAAACAAAGCAGGAAATATCTCCAGTAGCATGATCATCGAGTCACTCACTGACAGTTCAGGCTTCATAGTTCATTCCATCTTTAGAATGGGTTTCTTTGGATTTCTAGCAAGCTGGGTCCGGAACTGCTCCTTGAGCCGTGCTTCCCTCTCTAACTCCGTCCCAGCACGGTCCATCTTGAAATGAACACTGAGCAAGACTTCCTTGATGCTTGGGAGGATATCCAGCCCAAAGAACCCAATTCCACCTCTTTTACAAGCATCGGTGACCTTGAGCTGCTCGAGTTCAGGCATTGCTCCTTGGTCAAAGTTCACCGACTTGATCCCCCCTAAGCCTTCGACATCAAATACCACAATGCTTCTGAAAGCATCCTTTTGGAAATGGAGCTCTCCACCCTTGAATGAACACCCCGGCAGTCGGAGAATGGATAGGTTTGGCAGATGTCCCAGGACTTCCATAGCAGCGTCCTGCTCAACCTGGCTAGATGTTGTGAAGCTCAGCTTTAACTTCACAAGATTCTGAAGCTTCTTGATCCACTCTGGCAATACGCCCAGGCGGCCCTCCAGTTTGAGGCTCCGGAGGTTCTTCGGAGGCGAGGTGATGTCATCTAGGCATCCCTTGTCTGACTGCACTGATAATGACTCTAGGCGGCTAAGATTGGAAATGGCTGAACAAAACTTTACATCATTTTTCTCATTGATGCCCATCACTCCTAACTTGCGTAGCCCGCTGAGTCTTCCAATCTCCTGTATAACGGCATCTCCATATGCAACGTGCACACCCCTTATAGTGTGCAGGGATTTCAGTTTCCTGGCCCCTCCTGGCAACACAACACCACCATAATCTTTGTCCATCATGATACAAGGAGTTGCGGCACCACAGCATAAAGAAGTGCATGCATCAAGCTGGTTGAAGCCATACGTGTGCAGCAGATGCCTTGTACATAAATAATTTCCTTTTGTTGGAAACCCAGCATGGAGATGTTGTAGCTTCTGAAGCTTGATGATCGTTTGTGGTAGCATCACAATGGAGGTACCTCTGATATCTAGTGTCTCCAGTTGCCTCAAGTTACCTAATGTATCTGGCAGGTGACAGATAGATTCACATCCTCTTAGCGAAAGGTATCTTAGGTGAAGAAATTTCCCGATATGCTCAAGGTGATGATTAACTAGACCTGTCGTGTCTTCCAAGTCCAGCACTCGCAGAAGCCGCATCTTGTCAGAAAGGAAAAATGGCTTCCATTCTCCAAACACCGTTATTGAACGTACACGGGACATGTCCACTATGCTCTCGAATGCACTCTGATCTCTCTCCCAGTTGCTGCTTATAGCAAGGTGGCGTGCTGTGCCCTGGGTGTTTAAGCTGCAACCTTCCTCCAATCTAAGAACAAGATTTCCTTCCATCGACTTTGAGATGCCGATTTCACGGATGAGATCATGGACTTGGCAGGAGCCAATCCTTTTTCCATCACAAATTGATCTTTGGGATGGCAAAAGCATGCTCCTGCTTATGAGGTCCATGAAGTAGCTCTCTGCTACTTCCTCTGTAGACTTGTTACGCACTACACCTGGGTAACCTTCAGCAATCCACCGCCGCAACAAACGTTTGAGCTTAATGTTATAGTCCTCAGGAAAGATGGAAAGATACAAGAAACAAGACTTGAGATGATATGGTAAACCATCATAACTTTTATTAAGGACTGTTATGATGGCCTCAAGCTCTGGATTCATCTGTAACTCTGCAGCACTAATATGCTCATTCAGTTTCTTCCACTCCAAGGCTGTTTTTGGCTGGTTTGCCAGGAAACCACCTATGGTGACTATTGCAAGGGGAAGTCCCTTGCATTTCTTTAAAATCATATTTGTTTGTTCAACCAACTCAGGATACTGCTCATCCAAATCCATAGTCTTGTCAAAAACCTGAAATTGGTAAAAGTAGACTTTTAGTTAGTACTCTATCTATGAGGGCTATCCCTTCTTTTCGAAAAAAAAAACTCTATAAATTGTATCAGGTACACTACTCTTTTTCAGGACTCGGAAGCTGGAAAATTTGGCTTATTTAGTTTTTTGGGGAAGTATGTCACATGATGAATAGTTAGTGCATAGAAAAATAGGCATTTTTTTCCATGTCACCTGCACATGTGTTATAAGATATCCCAGCTATATTTTGTTAGGCAACTAGATAACCATTTTCAAATTAAACAAATGCAGTATGAAGATACACTATCCATACCTTTTGTATGAAGAGGTCATGTGCATCATTGAGTTCCAGACCTTGGAGCTTGTATATATTTTTACGTTTCTTTGAACAATGTTTACCAATATCCTCTACCCTTGTGGTGACTATGATCCGGCTTGATGTTTCCAATGCAGTAAAATGTGGGATGATTGCATCCCATTCTCTCGTGGATGATAGATCATCTAGAACAATCAAACATTTCTTTCCTTCTAAATGTCTGACCATATCTGCCACATCCTCATATCCAAACTGCCCAGCTAAGTTCTTGAGGAGTTCATCACAATTGAAAGGACGCATAATTGTAACACAAGCACACTTCTCAAACTTGCCTCTGAGCTCTTGGCTTTGATAAACATCTCTCACTACTGTGGTTTTTCCAAGACCACCCATTCCACACACAGAGATCACCTCAAATTGGCAGCCATCTCCATTTGTGACTAGTTGGATAATCTCTGATTTTTCTTTCTCTCGCCCGATGAGCTGAAATTCCTTAAATGCTGCTAGCGTTGTCTCCATGCGAGTGAGTATCTTGTTATTCACCAAGATGTGACTAGCGGTGGTGGTTGAATTTGTGCTGCTAGACCCAACCTCCGTCGAATCTCCATCTTGAGAACCCTGATCAGGTAAGTTGGAGTTCAAAGAAGGCATAATTCAGGGGATCATATCCCGTATTGGTTAATGAGTGAAAAAAAAGGGCTCAACTCAGTTATTCAGGTAGGAACATAAATAAACGAGTAAATTATCGAGGAACCACGGGGTATTGAGGCAAAGTATGAGAAAACCACAACTCAGAAATGTTTCACTTAACCACAACTTTTGGGCCAGCTCTGTTGACAGCGACTATAGCCACCTGGAGCCCATATTTCCTTATAGTTTCTTACAAGAGATTGAAGTGCGCAGATGATAGAAACATTTTCCAGTTATCGCTCAAATTAATGGAAATGGATTCTTGCTGCGTTAAAACAAAACAACTATTACACTACTTTCTGTTCGTTTGACACAAACTTCAAATGCATTGAAGCAAATGTCAGTATCAATGGAAACTCATGCCCTGGAAACAAAAAGGAGTAAATTATCTGCCGAATTTATTGGTTTTAAACTTGTGTGCTAGATTAATTAGTTTAAAAAAATACTAAATATACTGTACTGATCCGATGTGGCTCCCTTCCCTAGTCCTACCCGTGTAAAAAAGGCCTTGTTAAAGGTTGTCCAGATGTGCTTACATTTAGCTCATTTTGCAGAACTAGCACTGTTTTGTATAGTCTCAGAACTGCCACTTTTATGACCAGTTTCACAACGTACTACTATGACTTGGACTAACATTTTACACAACTCTATACAGTTAACTCTATGTTACTTGGATTAACATATTACACAACCATATACCATTAACTCCATAGCACTTTGTATTGTACTCCCTCTGTAAACTAATATAAGACCTTTTAGATCACTACTTAGTGATCTAAAAGGTCTTATATTAGTTTACAGAGGGAATACTTCATAATGATATAAGTAATCAACAGGGTTGGATGAAATCCAGTCTGGTCTTTGGAATGTTACCTTCTCAAAGAAAGCATAAAGAGTATTCTGGTCAATGGAGAACTGCTTGTGCTCTGGTGCTACGTTCTGTGGCCCTGCGCATAAGCTTGCAACTTCAACTTGCTTTGTTGACACTATAATCCGGCTTCCTCTCTTGTTATTGGGAAAGCATGGTTTAATTTGATCCCACTCTTCAGTGGTAGACATGCCATCAATCACAATTAGGTAACTCTTATCATTCAAATAAGACTTGAACTCGTCAACCAAATCATTCTCCTTCTTCATTCCCATTCCCCTCAGTACTTGGGCATCCATATTTTCTACTGGGTCTTGCAGAAGGTCGATATAGAATTGCCTGATAATGCTTCGCATGAACTCTACTGAATTAAAAGGGCACATCAACTTGATCCAAGCATGGCAATCAAACCTGTTGTGTTTCTTCAGATCTTCAAAGGCTCTTTTTATGACGGACGTTTCCCCAACATCAGTACTTGTTCCCCACACCGCTATCACTCGAAGGCGGTCATCCATCTTCCTTATCAGTTGAACAAGATCTGCTTTTGCCTTCTCCCTCTGCCGCCTTGCATCCTCTGTGCTAGACATTGTCATGGCACCGGTGATGGCAGACTGCCCATCGGTGCTGGCAGGATTAGAGCCTGCAGAGCCCTTGATAAGGTGGTAGCGCATATTCCTCTGGCTGACATCTTCAACATTAGCTCTGAGCCCCTTCATTTGCTTCGCCACCTGGCGCCGATCCTTCAGAAGGATACGCCACCAGGGCTGCTTCTCTAGGCGGACTGCGAAATCCTGGAGGGAGTCCTCAACATCGTAGGCAAGGTCACGGACTTGCTTCACCCAGACCCTGACCACCTTGCTGTCGCCGTCTCCTTCGTCATTTGCGGCCATGAGAAAGGCCTGCATCATCTCAAGCTCATTGGTGATGAAGACCTGATCACGCCGGACTCCAAGCTGCAGGGCCACCTCCTCCGCGATGGCAGATTGGGCGTACCGAACCGCTCCGTTCAGTACGGACTTGCCAACACTCAGCACCGTCGTCTCCATCGTCAGTTGGGCGTTTCTGCAAAATGACTGGATATTACTGATGGAGGGAACAATGCTACTGCAGGGTGTCAGTACCGAAGCTTGAGCAAAGCACAAAGAAGATGGGGAAACAAACCTGGTGGCGGTGCCGCAGTGGTAAACCTCGACAGCGACCAAGAACCTTCTGCAACAATCTCTCCACCCTCGAAAGAACAGCGTCTAAACATACAAGATCCACATCGCAAAGCAGAAAAAAAAAGAGTCAACAAATTAGTACTATACGCTAGCAGATTGGTGCCTCGATTAAGCTTGAGCAGATGTGGATGAGAAAGATTTCAGTAGAGCAGAATAAGAAAGACGGGAACTAATTAATTACCAGGCTCTCACTGGACTGGACTGGACTGAGATGCTCCGCCCGGGCCTCCGGTTCTTGCTATTCGACTACCACCCTGGATTCAGCCAACACAAAAATCAGACTTTCAAGCAGAAGATCTGACCTTTTAGCACCAGACATTGCTACTTTTAACTGAAAAGATGCACAAAATCAAGGGAAAGATGCACAAAAGGTCGTTGAATCTGACCGCCGGCCACCTCCTTCTCCTCCTCCACGGTCGACACCGGTGCTGAGAACGGCCGTCCTCCACACAACGGGCGGCGCCACCCCCTTCGTCTTGGTAGGGATGAGCTCGGAGGCCGGAAGAGGTCACCAGCAAGCGGATCTATAGGTTGGGCTGCCTGTACTAGAGCGGCGCCGGTACTAGAGATGCAGAGCCAAGACTTCGGGCTGATGCAGAGCGAAGACTACGGGTGGACTGACCGACTGACCATACGAGAGACAGAGACGTGAAAAAAAAAAGCTATGGAATCAGACTAATGAGAGCATCTATGACCGGACACCCAGTATCCCCTCAATTGTCCGGACGGACAAAAAAAAATACGACCAAGACGAACGCCTCAAGCAGGGCTTAAACATTCAGACTGACTGGCATTCCTCATATTTAGTCTAAATAAAAGGCGGATATGGGTTACACAACCTACGTGTCAGAGCCGACAGGCCTACCCCGCCACAAATTGCACCAAATCCATCCCTCGATCTACCGGATACATTTGTTCTCTTCTCTTCTTCTTGCACCTCGTCGGATGTCTCGCAGCTCTGTCGCCACGCTTGCTCCGCAGTCGTTCCAAGCCTCAACTCCACTAGAACTGGCACATCAATCCTCTCTCATGTGCTTGCCGCCGTGGACATCATCGCCGGTCCGGACGCCACCACGGTATGTCCGTCAATTCTCGGGCTGCCCCTTGCGCTCTATGTGTTCGACAGATTGTCCGTCCTGATTTTTTGTGATTTATTTATAGGGAAAACGACGAATTCCGATGCTTCGTCGTACGAGGAGTATAGACCGACGGAGCTTGATAAAATGGTTGAAGATGAGTTCTTCGATACGTTAGACTCGGACGAAGAAGTAGACATGATCATTCTCATGAGCATGCAAGAGGAAATGGACCGGCAAGTAGAGCATATTCTCAACTTTAGAGGCTCAATCAAATGGAGAAGAGTGATTAATCAGAATAGGGTCTTTGGACCACATCCACTGCGCAAGGACTACTTTGCTCTGGACCCAACTTTCCCGGATGATTCATGCTTTCATCGCTATTTTCGTATGCGCAAACCGTTGTTTTTGTGCATTATGGAGGGAGTGAAGGCACACGATGACTACTTCAAACTCACAAGGGATTGTTGTGGCCTGCTTTCTTTCTCTACTAAGCAGAAATGCTTGGCTGCTCCGAGGATGCTTGCACTTGGTGTTGGGAAACGTAGGAATTATTTCAAAAAAATTCCTACGCACACGCAAGATCATGGTGATGCATAGCAATGAGAGGGGAGAGTGTTGTCCACGTACCCTCGTAGACCGAAAGCGGAAGCGTTAGCACAACGCGGTTGATGTAGTCGTACGTCTTCACGATCCGACCGATCAAGTACCGAACGTACGACACATCCGAGTTCAGCACACGTTCAGCCCGATGACGTCCCTCGAACTCCGATCCAGCCGAGTGTTGAGGAAGAATTTCGTCAGCACGACGGCGTGGTGACGATGATGATGTTCTACCGACGCAGGGCTTCGCCTAAGCACCGCTACAGTATTATCGAGGTGGACTATAGTGGAGGGGGGCACCGCACACGGCTAAAAGATCAACAGATCAATTGTTGTGTCTCTAGAGGTGCCCCCTGCCCCCGTATATAAAGGAGCAAGGGGGGGAGGCGCCCGGCCAAGAAGGGCGCGCCAAGGGGGGAGTCCTACTCCCACCGGGAGTAGGATTCCTCCTTTCCTTGTTGGAGTAGGAGAAGGGAAGGAAAAAGGAGAAGGAAGGAAGGGGGCGCCCCCTCTCCCTAGTCCAGTTCGGACCAGTCCATGGGGAGGGGTGCGGCCACCCTTTGAGGCCTTTTTCTCCTTTCCCGTATGGCCCATTAAGGCCTAATACGAATTCCCGTAACTCTCCGGTACCCCCGAAAATACCCGAATCACTCGGAACCTTTCCGATGTCCGAATATAGTCGTCCAATATATCGATCTTTACGTCTCGACCATTTCGAGACTCCTTGTCATGTCCCCGATCTCATCCGGGACTCCGAACTACCTTCGGTACATCAAAACACATAAACTCATAATATAACTGTCATTGAAAGTTTAAGCGTGCGGACCCTACGGGTTCGAGAACTATGTAGACATGACCGAGACATGTCTCCGGTCAATAACCAATAGCGGAACCTGGATGCTCATATTGGCTCCCACATATTCTACGAAGATCTTTATCGGTCAGACTGCATAACAACATACGTTGTTCCCTTTGTCATCGATATGTTACTTGCCCGAGATTCGATCGTCGGTATCTCAATACCTAGTTCAATCTCGTTACCGGCAAGTCTCTTTACTCGTTCCGTAATACATCATCCTGCAACTAACTCATTAGTTGCAATGCTTGCAAGGCTTAAGTGATGTGCATTACCGAGAGGGCCCAGAGATACCTCTCCGACAATCGGAGTGACAAATCCTAATCTCGAAATACGCCAACCCAACAAGTACCTTTGGAGACACCTGTAGACCACCTTTATAATCGCCCAGTTACGTTGTGATTTTTGGTAGCACACAAAGTGTTTCTCCGGTAAACAGGAGTTGCATAATCTCATAGTCATAGGAACATGTATAAGTCATGAAGAAAGCAATAGCAACATACTAAACGATCGAGTGCTAAGCTAATGGAATGGGTCATGTCAATCACATCATTCTCATGATGTGATCCCGTTAATCAAATGACAACTCATGTCTATGGTTAGGAAACATAACCATCTTTAATTAACGAGCTAGTCAAGTAGAGGCATACTAGTGACACTCTGTTTGTCTATGTACTCACACATGTATTATGTTTCCGATTAATACAATTCTAGACATTTATCATGATATAAGGAAAATAATAATAATTTTATTGTTGCCTCTAGGGCATATTTCCTTCAGTCTCCCACTTGCACTAGAGTCAATAATCTAGTTCACATCACCATGTGATTTAATACCAATAGTTCACATCACCATGTGATTAACACCCATAGTTCACATCGTCATGTGACCAACACCCAAAGGGTTAACTAGAGTCAATAATCTAGTTCACATCGCTATGTGATTAACATCCAAAGAGTACTAAGGTGTGATCATGTTTTTCTTGTGAGAGAAGTTTAGTCAACGGGTCTGCCACATTCAGATCCGTATGTCTTTTGCAAATTTCTATGTCAACAATGCTCCGCACGGAGCTACTCTAGCTAATTGCTCCCACTTTCAATATGTATCCAGATTGAGACTTAGAGTCATCTGGATCAGTTTCAAAACTTGCATCGACGTAACCCTTTACGACGAACCTTTTTGTCACCTCCATAATCAAGAAACATATCATTATTCCACTAAGGATAATTTTGACCGCTGTCCAGTGATCTACTCCTAGATCACTATTGTACTCCCTTGCCAAAATCAGTGTAGGGTAGACAATAGATCTGGTACACAGCATGGCATACTTTATAGAACATATGGCCAAGGCATGGGGAATGCCATTCATTCTCTTTCTATCTTCTGCCGTGGTCGGGCTTTGAGTCTTACTCAATTTCACACCTTATAACACAGGCAAGAACTTTTTCTTTGACTGTTCCATTTTGAACTACTTCAAAATCTTGTCAAGGTATGTAATCATTGAAAAACTTATAAAGCGTCTTGATCTATCTCTATAGATCTTGATGCTCAATATGTAAGCAGCTTCAACGAGGTCTTTCTTTGAAAAACTCCTTTCAAACACTCCTTTATGCTTTGCAGAATAATTCTACATTATTTCCGATCAACAATATGTCATTCACATATACTTATCAGAAATGCTGTAGTGCTCCCACTCACTTTCTTGTAAATACAGACTTCACCGTAAGTTTGTATAAAACTATATGCTTTGATCAACTCATCAAAGTGTATATTCCAACTCCGAGATGCTTGCACCAGTCCATAGAAGGATCGCTGGAGCTTGCATATTTAGGATTGACAAAACCTTCTGGTTGCATCTGTTGGGTTTCGTAGTAATTTCAAAATTTTCCTACGCACACGCAAGATCATGTGATGCATAGCAACGAGATGGGAGAGTGTTGTCTATGTACCCACGCAGACCGACTGCGAAAGCGTTGACGCAACGTAGAGGAAGTAGTTGTACGTCTTCACGATCCAACCGATCAAGCACCGAAACTACGGCACCTCCGAGTTCGAGCACACGTTCAGCTCGATGACGATCCCCGGACTCCGATCCAGCAAAGTGTCGGGGAAGAGTTCTGTCAGCACGACGGCATGGTGACGATCTTGATGCACTATGGCAGCATGGCTTCGCCTAAACTCCGCTACAGTATTATCGAGGATTATGGTGGCTGGGGGCACCGCACACGGCTAAGGAATAGATCACGTGGATCAACTTGTGTGTTCTAGGGTGCCTCTACCTCAGTATATA